GAAGAAAAACACAGAGAGGTTGATTGAAAGAGAAAGATTAAGAGGGTTATATTGAGAAAGAGAAACTCTGAGACAGAGGAAGCGAGAGCGCGGGGAGGAGGAGGCAGAGCATAAGCCAAGTTTTTGTCCCAATTACTGTGTGACAGTAGGACTGTCTTCCAATCTCTCTCCATCCCTCCACACTCATTCACTCAGCTGCCACATATTGTACAGGCCAATCGGGATAAAGAGAGGAATGAACTGGAGAGAGAGAGAGATGGACTCGGGGAGAGTATGCTTGCAGCTGGCTGCCTGGCTAGCATTCTCTCCTGTCTCATTGCTCTGGGTGATAGCATGACGAGATGAGACTGGGGCTGGTGAGAAGGCTGATAAGAGAGCTGCAGTGGTGGCTGACTGTAGTGGTGCTATCCCTTGGTGAGATAGAGAAGACACACACACACACACACACAGGTTGACAGAGTGGAGATTTTTTGTTAAAAGCTGAATCCCCAGTTCTGTCTGTTTAGGTTTAGGTATCTTAGAGAATTCATGCTTTGAAAATAAGTGATTTGTTTGAGAGAAACACATTCATGCAACCGGTGTGTGTAAAGATGTTTGATATGTTAGGTTTGCGGCACACCTGTTTACTACAAAACACCACTTGTTTTTGTTGATTGCATGAACACTTCATTTTTGCCTTTTCCAAGTATGCAAGTCTGTCAGTTCAGCTGTGAGGAGGAAGGGTGAATTTTTTTTTACAACTGTGACCAGTTACTGTGTGACTGGATAAAAGCATGAGCATAGAATCATCCAGACATATATCTTGTAGACTGCTTGCACTTTCCCCCAACGAAATACTGTTGCATATTCAGATCTTTTTAATTATAGTTGTTATTTTAATAGGAAAATACAGTTGAACATGTCCTAGGTACAGAGCATGGTAGATCTTAGAACCGAAAAGTGACAGTGGTTTTGTGTTTACAAGGTAGTCAAAGAGTTGCAGTGTTGCAATGACGACTCTTAACTGACGTCATCTGTTACAAAAATACCACTAAAAGTAAATCTTTTTGACTTGAATTGTATATCTAATATTTTGTCCAGAAGGAGAAAGTGCTAAGATTCAAAGAGCAAAACGATGACATGTTGACAAGTTGATTTGCCTGCATTATTCATACCAGACACTTGGCTGTATGACTTGTACATACATAGCTTAGGATGAGAAGTCATTTGGTATGATTCTCATATGCAGAATTTATTATTATTTATCTTTGAAAAGGGAACTCTGATTTTACACATCAAAGTGTGTTTACAGGTCTTGGAGAGTACTGCTGCATATGTGAGTAAAGTTTTATAAAGCATGTTGTGGCTCCAAAGGGAGCTGTGTGACATCTGATAAATTGCCTCAAGTGATGTCACTTGCCGAATGGGGCTGAAGACTACAAATTTGAAAATTCAAAAAATCTTGGTGTGTGGAGTTAGACAGAAGTGAGCTTACCAGACTTGCTGTGTGGGGATGTAGGCACCAGGTTTTGACAATGAAGAAGAATGTGTGAAATAAAAAAAGACAATAGCCCTGGTTGTGCTACACCTAGGACCACCCTGCTTGTTCACCCACTCCCGCACCAGAGATCACATCACCCCTGTCCTTCAAAACCTCCACTGGCTCCCCGTTCAACAAAGAATCCAGTCCGCTTGAATTCTCGTCACCCCCCAAGGCTTCTCCATTGCTGCCCCCTCCCTCTGGAACTCTCTCCACCAACACTTCAGACATTTTCCCTCATTCGCATCCTTTAAAACTGCACTCAGAACTACTAAAACAGATCTATTTAAAGCTTTCACCCCCCCTTTCCTCCCTTTTATTGCTCCAGCTGTTTTCTTTTTGTTTTGTTTCATGCTGTTTTGCTGCTTTTGTTTATAGTTCTTGATATTGCCTTTGCTGTTTCTGTTATTTTTCTTTTGTCATCATGTAAAGTGTCTTTGAGTACCGTTTAAAACTATATAAAATAAATATATTATTATTATTATTATTATAAATGATTCTGCTTATGCAATTTACCTAGTTAGTTTGCAGCTTTGATTAAAGGTTAAGACATTTTGAGTTTATCCATAAACAGTTGTTGTGCAGTGTTTTTACCGATACGAGTCGGTAATCAGTCTTAAAGTTATGCGGACCCCTGGATCGATCTAAATGTACCATGAAGCGGTCAATGGTCCGTTTCTAAAGTTTTGAGTCGTGGACTGAAGCTTTGCTGTCAATAGAGTATACATCAAGTGTAAACCTATCGTGACATCACCCATTGGTTTGTGGGGTACCGTTTTGAAGCCTTTGAAGTTTGTCATTATAGATATGGCAGTTGGTCGGAGCGACTTGACCAGTTTCGACTCGTCCATAGCAGGAAACAATGGTGGCTCGCCTGGTCGTATTACACTCAAATATGTTTCTGAAACAATTTTTTGGTAAGAAATAGGCAACACAGTTTTGTGTTTCGTGCAGGACGTTGGAACATACTCTCTGAGAATGGCGTGGCCACCTTGTCAGTCATAAGGTAGCATACCCTTCTTTATCATCTATTTTACTCTAAATTGGACCATAATGTACAAAATTAGCATTGTGTTGCATGGAAGAAGACTGGAAACTACAGATTGACCCTAAGAGACGTCCTGATGACACCTATGCAGGTGTTGAGGATTCTGTGGATGTTTCAAATTAAAATGTATTGTCCCTAAATTGATCATAGCCAATGTATCTCGATACATAGCGGATCATCTCAGAAGGGAGAGATGCACACCCATAGTATTGACATGTAACATGTAGCTGTGCTACCTAATATGCTCCACTGAAGTGAAAAAGACACTTTTTCAGAGAAAAGAGAGTACAGTGAATATTTATCTGGTAAAATTCTACTTTTGGATTTGTGGGGATTTCTTTGTTGACTCTCTCTCTCTCTCACACACACACACACCCATAAACACACACACACACACACACACACACACAGACAGAGACAGAGACAATGTATTGTATTGTTGAAATTGCTAGCTTTCAGAAGGAGGTTGAAGCTGAGACTTCACTGTGCCTGGTAGTCAGGTATAGGTGTCTCTTGTTAAATGGCAGGGCTGCAGACTGTGGCAGTGGACTGAGACAGGCTGGGAAAGCAGCCAAAACCCAGAGGAGGCCAAAACTCAGACAGGCCACTGGCTCAACCAAGAATAGCTTCTGTGTGTGTGTGTGTGTGTGTGCGTGTGTGTGTGTGTGTGTGGCTGTGTGGCTGTGTCTGAGTGTGTAAGCGTTACTGTGACTTTTATAATTGTCGCTAATGATTAAAATGTTCCAAGGTAGAAGTGAGAGACGGGAACAACTGCATGTTTTTTTCTATGGTGTGAAATTATGCCTACATGTAAAGCAAATAAGCTAAGGATAAGTTTGTGCCTGTCTGTACTTTATCCAAACACTACTGTGCAGTGACCCTGGCATGCACTCACACTACTGAAAAAATGCAAACATAAACTAACTTTTCCTCTAGGCAACATTGGAAACACTCAATTTCAGAGTTCCTATATTGAATATTCATGCCACTCTACGCTGTCTCATACAATCATATAGATGAATAATTGAGACTGACGAATGGCGTCAAAAAGAGTGATTTACCATCATAGTATATCCTATGCTTTATTACATCTGATGCTGTGGCATAAGAACGAACACCACACGAGGAATGGTAATAAATGATTATGCATGCAGCTAATTAATCTGATGAATATTTATAACCACTTAAACACATTGTAATGGACTGATTAAGCAGTCCAACGCTGCGAGTTTGAATTAGTGCAGTTTTTGAATAATGACAGAGTAACTTTCCATCTCACTGCTAATGTTCTTCTCTTTAAATGGGGAGCCTTTTTCTCACATTTTCCCCAGCCAGCTTTTTCCCTCCCTCGCTAATTCAAAGCAGTGCAGCTACATTAGAATGGAACATGGCAATTATCACCTTTTATCTTGGGTGGGCGCGCTTGCTCGCTCTTACCTTCCCTCTGTTGCTGGGGAATGATGGTTGGTTGCTGGGGGAACGCTTGGCTGATTGGCGCATAGGCGGCAGGGTAGGCTGCTGTTGCAAAGGGAGAACCAGAGTGGAATTTTTCACATCTCCATTTTCATATTTGACACAACAAAAGTCAAATCATTATTCCATTGTTCATTTGTGTCCTCTAGACATTGCATAAATAAATTGCATTATGACTTGGAGCCTGGGCTCATTTGGCTGTGGATCACTACTCAAGGAGTATGGCAAAAGGGGAGTGGAGTGCGGTTCAACTGAGCAGAAACACAAAGGGTGGGAGACTTACACCATGTTAATAAGAGCTGATTTCAGGCAGAAAGCAGTGGTTATGAGAGGTCTATGTCATATCTCTTGTAGGAGGCTATGGCAGGTTCAGATCCACAGCTCTCAGTGTACTTTTGGAATTAAGATTTTTTTGTGTGTGGGTGTGTAATCAAGTCAAATGAAAATCCTTTTGCAATCCTAATGTAAAGTAGCCTAATCCGGGAGGAAATTGGCTGGTCCGGCTATCTCTACCTGTCATAGTGTCTACTGATGTGACAAACAGAAAGGGAGAGGGGAGAGGGAAAGGGACAGATGGAGGAAGTGAGGGAGTAGAGGAGATAGGAGAGACGGATCACCTGCGTAGTGTTGGACGCCAGCATAAGCCTGTTGGAGAGGGTCGGTCACTGTTGGACTCTGTGCTGCAAAGAGACGAAAAGAGAAACAGAGAGAGGGGGGTGACAAAGAGGAAAATGAAAGCAAAAGAGACAAAGAGGATGGAGAATGGTCAAGACAGACAGAGACAAAGAGAGATATAGAGAGAATGTTAAAGAGCGAGACAGAAATTGGCTTAGCTGTAGAGAACCATCAGGGGGTAAGATCACACAGGGAGTGGGAGAAATTTGGGTTGTCATATCTCAGTTCTTCAAAATGCCTGTTCGCCCCAGATGTTTGCATCAAATATTAACAACATGCCAAACAAACCACTTTGTAGTTCATTACAATTGCAGCTGCCTTTGCATAATGCACAAACGGGGAGTGTGTGTCTGTCAATTCTTCAGGAATCAGTCCCAGACAACATTAAGAAGCTGAGGACAGGCTGAGACACATCAAATTAACCATAATGGACTGATGGATGAACTGATGGATTCATCATGATACTAGGGCTGGCTGCTCAGAAATCTGCCAAAGACACAGCTGATTGACCCTCAAGCCTTAAACGCTTCAGTTCAGATCAGAAAAAGATGTAATGAGAGTGTGAAGTAAAAAAGACTCTTGTCAGCTTTTAAACAGTACCTTGTGATATAATTCAACGTGTCACTGACATGTTGAACTTACAGTGTGGCAACAAGGTGATGTTCTTTTTTTGAGATCAAGTGCAGCACTAGAATAATCAAACATTCATAGATCACTATGAGTACAAGCAGCTAATCGTAAGTGTCAGGGTCAGAGCAACAGTCAGTAGATGTTACATATGTATCTCATGTTTCTTTTGTGTAAACCTTGATTGACTCACCTGGGTAAGGGTGAATACCATTGGTGTAGATGGGCTCAGAGGTGGGCTGCCCGTTGCTTTGAGGCGGGAGGGCACTGAATCCGTTGACCCCGATAGGAGCGGCTATGCTGGGCACGGCTGTGGCAGAGATGCCCGGGGGTGTGCTGGTGCCTGCAAATAGATACAGAGCCATTATGGAAACATTAGGGTGCCTGCTTCACGTGCTACACACTCAAAAAATAGAGGTACAAGTATATTTAGGTACTTTTTCACAAATGTACTACTATATAACAAGCACATAGTGGCCCAGCATGAGCACAAATGTGTACCCTTTGTGTACCTACCAGTGTAGTTTGGTACAAATAGGTACCAATTCAGGCTGAACTAAAGGTACAGTTACAGTAATCAGTCAAAGTACCACACTGATTTAGCTGTAGGGAAGGCGCAGGGGAAAACACACTCATTCACCACTGTAATAGAAAAAGCTAAAAGTACTACACTGATTTTTTGATTTTGTACCTTTTTTAAAGGTTTGTGCCTGGGGTGCATAACTGCACCTTTGAAGGTACAAAAGCCAAAAGTTGGCCTTACAAGCTTACAACCATGATGTACAGTATATCGGGTGCAGGGACCTGTGTCTCTTTCTCTAACCACCTTTCCTCCTTGTGGTGATATTCCAACTCTGTCACCTTGTCAGTGCCCTTTTGTGCTGATGGATTTTTATTATTTTTCTAATCCAGGTGAAGGACATTTAAGTCATGTAGGATTATGTTTGATAGGTATTACCTGGTATATGTAGGACTTGTGGATTACAAATGCCAGGTACAGCGTCGAGCCACTTTATTTAATACATTTGCAATGACCCTGCCTTCAGGCGGCCTGCCTACTTAGTGTCGAGCCATCAAAGCTCCTCATGACAAGGGCCAAAAAGATAGTTCAGACTGGGGTCCAGGATTATCTCACACAAATCTTTGCTCTTATATTGTATAAGCCAAGGACTCTGCATCCAAAGTCATCGGATTGGCTGTGTTCCCAGAAAACACACACTGTCACAGAGACACAGAGGGAGATAGCAACAGACAGAGAGAGAGCGAGATAATGAGAGAAAGGAGGAGAGAGAGAGACTATAATGTGGTTGCCAATGAGTGTCAAGGAATGCTGTACATCTTCTCCAACCATGCCTCACTCAATATAAGGCTCTGCTTCTGATGAAACATTGCCAATGTCTGCTTCTTCTGAAAATGGAACCTACATCTTAAAAAATGTAACAAGGGCAAAAGCAGAAAGGCCTTGAATGAATATATTACTACTGCTTCTATAATTCTTGCTAATGATGAAAATGTTCCAGGACAGCTGTGAAAAATGGACAGTGTGTTTGCATGTGCCTCTGCTCTTGCACCTGTGCCAGTTAGTGCGTGCATGTGTGTGCCTATTAGTGTATACCTGAGGACGGTGTCATGGGAGTAGCCACCAGGCCATTGACATTGAAAGCTGCCATTTGCTGCATTTGCGCGGCAGCGATGGCTGCCATGGGGTTCAGGTAGGACCCTTGTGTTGCCGCCATCAGGGCTGCTTGCTGTTGCATCATCTGCTGTTGGATTAAAGAGCAGTGGGTAGAGAGGCGAATGGCGGGAGGGATGGAGGGAAGGACAGAAAAGGAAAGGAGGGTGAAATAGCCGCAGGACCAGAGCATGTTTACTCTCACATCTCTGTTTGCTTGGCTCATGCCTTGTTCTTGAACAGAGTGGTCTGTGTTGCCCTGCAGCGTTGCTTCCCAGCTACTGTAACACTGCTCTGGCCGTGTGCTCATTATACTGACACATTATAAAGGCTATGTGGTGAGATGACTTTTGCAAGTTGGAGACTATGTATATGTACTGTATATGTATATGTGTGAAAGAGAAATGGGGCTGCTGTGGCAGAGTTAGTGGAGAGATTGTGCGTGAGTGGGCGATTCTCACCTGTCAGGGTGAGTTGTTAGCTACTGTGTGAGTGCAAAATCTCATAGACTCTAACCCAGACTCTGACTTTCATGTGTGAATATGGGTAGGGGATGAGTGGGTATAGGTTCTTGGTAATGACGTGTGCTTCTATTTAAGTGCAAAGGCATATGTGTAAGTAGAAGAAATGTTAAAGAGTCAAGCTTGGGTTGGCAGTTTAAATTCACAGACCAAATCAGGAAATGTGGGAATGGAAAGTGAGTATGAAGTGGATGCTTACAACTGTATGAAAGTAAAACAGTGTAGTGCTGAGCATACATGATAAGCAGCTTCCCTGGACAAATTAAGGGATAAGAAGACACAATATGAAAAGCAGTGCAGCATGTTCTGTAAAGCCTCTGTAAATTTGGGCTTTAATAGCATGAATTACTTAAGGAGTTGTTCGCCGGTAGAGTCACATGCCTAGTGGGAGAGAGTGAGTTCAAACCTTAAATCACAACAGTTTTTGTTTTCTTTTTTAAAGCTCACCGTCTCCTCCCCCGCCGGGCTGAGACTTACAGCATGAGAGTAGGCGCCATAGGCCCCAAACTGGATGGTCATGGGACTGAAGATGCCGAGCTGGCCCGCCATCTGGTGCATTCTGCGCAGGGTCCTCTCCTTATCAGTGTCTGCAAACTTGACCACCAGACTGGACGAGGCACCCTAGAGGGACATGTATATTTACAAGGTTAGTGAAATATGGAACCAAACTTCCACATTTATACTTTAAACTTTTTAAAGATAGTTTTTCACATTCCATTTTTGATCCGTGTTCCTTTGGTGGAAACTTTGCAGTGTATTATCATGCTTTTCAATGACTGCCGGGAGATTAACAAAAGCAAATAAACATAAAACAAACATCTAAACACAAAATATCTAAATAGAAGCTGAAAAAGTACTTTGTGCCTGTCAGACTTTCAACAAAGTAGAACAACTCATATTGCCAACTTTTGCAACTACCATTACTTTCAATCAGCAGTGTTTTGCACGTTGCACCTGCCACTTCAGCTGGCCAACCAGCTAATGTGTTAACCAAAGCTGTCTGTGAACATCCTTAGACTGAATAAATAGTTATTCACTGGGACAAACAACAAGGCTATAGCACATATTTTGTAACCACAGCAGTTTGGAATACTGATCTCATCGATACTGATTTACTTTATTTTCTATTTTTTATTTGTATATTTGTTTAACCGAGACATTGCACAATACATGCATTGTGCCATCCTGTAGGCCACTGATGCGCCAGTTACAAAGATCAGTAGGAAAGGAGAACCTTATACACTGATTGACATTGTTACATTTACCTGATAAGTCTATTTCTCTAGTAAATATGTGATGCTTTTACTGGAAGTGTGTAGTGTGAACACTATCAATCTGACTATCAATATAGGCCATTTGGAAACAATGTTGCCATCTTTTATTGTGTGGTTAAAAGTAGTTTTTTTTACAATGTGTGTGTTTCCCTTAGGAAATTACCTACAACAAATTGTTGGCTCCATAATGAAAAAATGCAGAGATGGTCTGTATTTGCTGTCTACATAACCACAAAGGAGAAATAGTGTTGAGAATGTTGTTCATTTCTGTCATCTGATGTCCAGTTTACACAACATTATCAGCCTTTATGAGCTAATATTTCTAAGCCAAGGAGGCCAGTGGAAGTGAATGTGCACCTCTCATGACTGCAGTCATTTAGCTGTCAGCATTAAATGGAAGAGAATAGTGAGTGATATTTGCTTTTGCGAACTTTCCAACTGCACTGTATACACTGGGAGTGAACTGTGATCCTAACCAGATCCCACAGGAGTCCCAGTCCCCCACTGGTGAAGCTCCACTGAATACAGTACTGGGTAATTAGGTCTGACAAAAGCCTTCGGCATGTGGAGGGCGAAGTATTGACTAATGGCTCTGCCTTATGGCAGATATAGTTCCGTATTGATGTCCGTGCTCCTGAGTTTGCATCCAATTAAATCATTTGAGAGACAGAGACCAGAGTCAGTTCCTCATGTGACATCCAGGCAAGGAGAGAGGGAGGAGTGTCTGTGTGTGAGTGAGAGACATAGAGATAGATACAGAGAGAGAGGATCAGGAGGCTGCCAGGCAGAGAAGACAGCCACAGACACTGTCAAGAGGACCAGGCTCCTATTTAATTACAGGCAGTGCATGCTGGGAAATAGCACGGAGCACCACCAGGACAGAAGGACACAGGCAGCCAGGGGGCAGTCAGGATATGATTAGTAAGATCATAAAAGCAAAGACATGGGGAGAAAAGGACTCCATAATCACAACTTGGATTCATCTTTCACAAAATGTCTTATCCTGACAGGGTCAGTACAAGTGAGGCTTTGATTTAGATTTCCATATTTTCTTTGGGTGTATAAATTGAAAATGTATGTGAACTGCAGGGGACACAGTGGCAGAAAAAGATGAAGCTGGCCAGTGTCAGTGATGCTGCTCGTGTTTTTTCTGTACACAAGTTTATGTGACTCTGTATAAGAAATTGAAATTGACAATGCCAGACCAAGCTGCTCCACAGGTCCAAGTTAAAGTTTGAGAGCTACCTACAGGAGGCACATTACTAAAGCAGAGCTATCCAAACAGAAAATCTAAAAAATAAACAAACTTGGGTCCTGTGATGCTGAGGAGTGCTAAGAGTGTGAATTTTTACTGGTGCAGCCTTACTTCATGCTATTTCATAGAAATTCACAAAAACTGTGTCCTATTTTTGTAAGTGCTTCATGAAATTTTAAACAGGAACAGCTAAGTGATAGTGCCGTAGAGTTTGCCAGGCTGGTCTCGTGCTTTGTGGTTGGATTAGACATGGCTGCCGCAACAAACCTTACATAATATCTATTCATATCCAAAATCATTCTAAAAAATCTTTTTCATTGTTTTTATTTACTTTATACTTTACCCTAACATCATTTACAACTTTCTTATGCTTTATCCTCCCCAGCTACTGTTTTTGTTCTTATCTGTTTTTTTAAATAAAAAAATATGCATTTTTTCGATGTAAAAAAATGCACCTTTTTTTTTTTTTTTGCGGCTTTGCAGCTATTTGACTAACCCAAAGTGTCTTATAAACATTCTATTAACCCAACCAAGAGAGTGTGTTGGCTGTAGATAACTGTGAATAAGAGGATGGGGAATGGAGGAAGGCATGAGCATGTACCCCAGGGACAGTGTGTCTCAGATGGGATCCTATCAGAGCCAGCCAGCACCCCACCTCAGGCCAGAGGAGACCCATCTGGTGTTTCTCCCTCGATGCCATTTCAATTAGTTAAATCAATACTCCGACATGGCGCAGTTAACGGCACAGTTTTTTCCTCTCTAATTTCATTTCATCCCACCTCCTGACCTTTTTCAGTTCTTTTTCAACTTTTGTAGGCCTGTTGAAGGGACTGGGCTGTTGGATTTAATGAGGCTGGCACTAAGCAAACATCTTCCTCCAGCGTTGTTGCTCAAGCCTGCCCACAGCACGGGGGCCTGGCATTTAGATCACATTCATTTTCTGCTTTGTGTTTCTGTGTATTTTTACATTCATTTAATACCTCATGAAGAATGCATTGTGAGCATCAGGACTGTGAAAGCCTGAGGCTGCCTGTACCCACTGCACCATGACTCAAGACTCTGGCCTGGTCTGGTTTCTCCCAGCAGAGTGCTCTGCTGTAGACGACAACACAGGAGGAGACCCATTCTGCAGTGTCTACACTCAACAGACTTGGCAGCAGCACTAAAGGACTACAACAGCCTCTGCAGGTGTTGTCAGCACTGCCACTCATGTCAGAGCCTAGCATTTCTGACTTTCAAAGCATAAAAGCCCAAATATCCCCTCTAAAATAAAAAAATAGAATCTTCTCTTATCCTCACTCCTGAACAGGAGAATTTCTTATCCTCACATTTCAAGCAGATGTATTCTGACTAGATCCAAGGTCTAAGCAGAGAAAGAAGATTTCAGAGTGTGATCCCCCTCTCGGATCAAGAGTTTCTATCCACATAAAGAAAGAGTAATATGTGGCCAGGTAATGAAGGAACAGGTGGCAGCAGACAACAGACACTGGATGCAAAGCAGCCACTCCTCACTGGTAGCAGAAAATCACAAGCTGACAAACAAACAGAATAATAACCTCTACCGGCATGACTCCTATACCTGGGGAGAAAATGAATTCGCTGAATTTGATAAGGGCCAACAGGGAGCCTTCACTTTTGACAGGTACAACTAAGGAATTTGTCACAGGTTCAAAAACTAATCTAATTTCTTGAACAACACACTTGACTTGTGAAAATCTCCCATATTGGATTTTGTATAGGCCACAAAATGTGTAGATGGAAAAATACACAACGGTAATTGAGGGATTAGAACTCAACTACACCAGTGAAATGGCATTATGCTTTTATCTCTGTATTACTGTGATACAAAGACACTGGTGTTAAGTGTGTACCAAAAGGTAAACAGACACTTCCAGCCTTTACAGAGGCTTACAACAATATAATATAACAACACACTCATCGAAGGGAAAACTGTCTTTTCAAAAAGCATATTAATGATTAACAACTAATATGCTAAGAACCTTATTTCTCCTCCATTCAGGAAAACTGTAACAGCTACCTTTAAATGACAAATGAAACTTCTAAAGTTGTCTAAGGTTATCTACAGGCTTACAGACTCTAAAAGTGTTAATTGAGAATCTGTAAGAAATTAATTGAATACACCATAACAAGTTTGTTTGGTAATTGGATGAACCCCCTGTGGGCTTCGTATTCAACTCTCTGAACCTTGCTACATCTCTGCTAGCCTCATGGGAGGACTGTCTCTCATTAGCACTGGATGATGCTGTCTTGGTCTGGCCTTGCTGTCCACCACATACTGCTGCAGATGCACAGCAACTACATCAAGCCAAAAGATACAGAAGAAGAAAACTGTCATTCATAACTGTATTTTCACCCATGTATATTACAGTGTGTAAATAACAGTTTTCACTATATGAGGAGCGCAAAAACACAGAACTTCATGTAGTGTGTCAGCTACAAGCCTGCCGAGATTCTACAATAGTTTCATGTGGCGTTAGATGAATTGTGTGTTGCAGTGACAATGCTCTCTGGCTGGGTCTTATCTCTCATTAATCCAGAACTATAGTATCACACACATGCACACTCTTGTCCCTGCCAACACCGGCAAACTCCACAGACCCTGTCAGCCACGCTGTGACACCGAACATGACAATGTCTGCAATTTGCTGGGTGTTGTCTGCCTGCCCCTAGCTCTGCCATTTGAAGTTTTGCCACCTGTGCCTCTGTAGCCTTACTGTAATTTAACAACTGAACCAGTTAGAGTGCCTGTTCTGTGCCCAATCACCTTTTAAGTTAATTTTGGAACCACCTGCAATCTGCAATAAACATCAATTAAAGCTATGACCCGATCTATCAGCGCATGCCCTTCAGTGGCATCCCTTGCCCTTAAGCTTTATTAAAGCCTTTCATTTTGGGCCAGCGTATTTTGGTGCAGGTATTATTTATGGCATGTGTGTATGTGCCAGGTAACACAGATGCTGGAGAGAGAACATTAAGAGGGAGAGAGAGACAGAGAGAGAGTGAGAGACAACTCTTTGTTCAAGGTTCATCCAGACCTCACAGCTGGCAGCAAGCAGTGAGCAGAGCAGCCCACTCTCTGAATCCTGCCTCCTGTTAGTCTGTTGTTGACGACATGTGGCAGTGATATTATCCAAATTAACTGCATCCCCCATCGGTACCAAAGCCTTAGTTGGATACTAATGGCCACCTTGCCTATTAATCTGAGAGGAAGTTGGATTTGGGTAGGGGAGGATAACAGGTGCAGGGATAGAAGGGGAGAGATATGGATAATATAGATTATTAATGAACTTTTGGATGGCTCTTGATCCGCCCCAGGTCTGTTTGGGGCTCCATATGTTGCCTTGGACAGTTCATCTGCAGCAGACCTCAGGTGGCTCAATGGCCCAACATAATGCAACTGTGCCTGGGCTACAGCAAGACAAACATATGCACAAAGTGCACAAAAGTAGTCTGCATGAGCCAAATTTTGATCTGTACAAGGAGGCAAAAAAACTGCCCCAGAGGAGTCCAATTATGTAAATCTTCTGGATGTAAACATAATCTGTTGAGTGAGTCAACAAGATATTTTGAGTAGAAGGTAAATATCTTGATTATAATCAAATTTCATAATGTCATAATTGTGCATGATCAGTGTGAAACATGATTATACTTTGGCTCATGGCCCACTGCTTATTAAATTTTGACCCTTGTGGTTTACATGCCAAAAAGTTTGGTCTCTACTGAGCATAACTACCACACACAAAGTTAAACCGACTGTACCACTTATTTCCCTCCCTCACTACTTCAATGTAATGCAAAATGAGGCGGCATCAAAAAGATGTGTAAATTACATCTGGCTTCCAGGACACTATCTGGCTGCCAGGAAGCGTCCGTAAATATTTATTGCGGAACATCAGTGAAGTGTGTGAAGGTGCGGATGTCTGCCAGAGAGAGAGTGTGCTCATGTGTGTGTCCAGCTGTGCAGTACTCGACACACACCCAGCACTGGCAGGGATGCTTCGTAATTCATCATTTCTTTAGCTTAAGCCGTTTTGGTGGCCTTGTTCAAGCCCGACAGAAGCATATCCAATTCATAATTAACTGCAGCTTGACAAGAGTTACAGGTTTGGTGGCCTCATTCTTCGACTAAACAAATCAACACCAACTAATGCTATTTCATGCATCTCATAACTACTGTATATCAAACTAGACCAATGCACCATTACCTATGGTACTCTCCACAATTTCCTACAGCTAAACTATTCCACACCACTCGAAAGCACATTTAAATCTCTGTCTGTTGTGTAGTGCAGTGGTTCCAACCTGTGGGTCAGGACCACACCAGGGGATGCCAAAGCTTGCTTAGATAGAATTTGTCATTGTTTCAAAAAAAAAATACAGACAGAGAATGCTATACAAAGTTCATCAGAAAACCCACCTCTGATGTAATATTCACAGAAAAAATTTAATCTGATCAAAATTCATCCAAACTGCTCATTTTACACAAACCCTCAGTTATTGTGTTAACTTTTTGTGTTCATTGTGTCAACATCAGTTGTTCTGTACAGTTAATATCCATAAAATATGTAACTTAGTCAGAGGTTGTCAGTTTACCCAATGATAGAAAAGGGGTCCCTTAAGGAAAAAGGATGGGAAACACCAGTGTAATGCAATACAGACTACTGACGATTGTGATTCACATGCAATACACCTTTCTCTTTGCATGTGAGGTCTTGTCCTCTTATTATATTTCCGCATGCTGTATGATTCCGTGTAAGGGTCAATATGTGTTGTCAGCAGTGTCATGACAACCAACACCTGTATGTGTGTTCTATATCTGTAAAATGTATGAAACGATTCTGATGCAATATGATTTACAAATGGGCTGAGCAGCAATATAAGTAGTATTCATAGCTCAACATTATGCCACAACATATCTAGATAAATACCCCAGCCTTGGGTAGATGATACCCAGACTGTGAAGAATAAATATAGAAAAGCTTAAAGTTAATGGGGGCTGATAAACTGCAAGTGTCCCACAATATTATGAAGGGCTTAATTTTGAAATATCAGGAAGCCGTTAAGGAAGCAAAAGTGGCTTATTAATCTGACCTCATTTTGAAGATCCATCCTAACTCTAGGGTGCTTTTCAATATTATTGACTTACTTGTTAACCTCCCTTCTAGTCATTGTAATGAAGCCTCCCTTGATAAGTGTTTTCAAGTGTTTTAAATGTTTAATATTCTTTCACAAAAAGTACTCCCCTGACAGAGGCCAAACTGTCACTGTTAATAATTTGGCTGTGATTAGCTGTTTTTCAGTAATTTCTCCTATGTTGCTGGAAGATGCTATGACTTGTATGAAACCCTTTACCTGTCCCCCTCCATAGTATAAAATATTCAGCAGCCTGTATATCATCTATTATCTATAGCACTCTGACCTTTGTTTAATGTTTTTGTGTAGTTAGGTTTTACCAGATTCTACTACTTCCTTAGAAACTATTTTCAACAGCCTTCATCCTTATGATGTAGTGTAGTTTGACATAGACTGTATTCATCCAGGGTTCTACTTGGATGTAGCAAAAGAAAACATAAAAGTGTCACTGTTATGCTGATGACGCATACCATACCAAATTGTAATACTACATGTCTAGCCATTCTCATAACTTTCCTAAACAGCATATACATGTCAAAAGGGAATTACACCAACTCTGAAATAACCTTTTTTTTGGCCTACTACCTCAATTAAATTGCTTCACCAGGAAGATGACACACTGTCTCCCAATGTACAGCCATTAATTTCACACTAATTTCAAATTTCAGGAACAGGTTAAGAGAGCTGTTCAAACTATTAACTTTTGATAGAGGACTATTTCCTCGTGCAATGAGCAACATTTTAATCCATATGTAGTCAGAAAATAGTCATCCATGCTTTAGTTTGCTCTGAATTAGAACCTAGCTCAAAAAATCTTTCCTTCTCTTTTCTCCCACTCAAACAAAAGTATCCTGATTTGCACTTTTACACTGATTGGCTGTCATTATCAGAAGTTAATTTTAATCAATTGTTTAATGACACTTCTGTTATGCTTTCATTTATTATTTTACCATTATTTCTCTTTCTGATATTTTATATATATATATATATATATATAACCTGGAGGGACAAGCCCCTACATGGCATGTACCACCGCCAAATTGAAGAAGTGGCTGAT